GGCAGCGCGGCCCCCCCCGCGCCCCCGGGAGCCGCCTGCTGCGCCCGAGGCTCTGAAGAGACCGAGCCGCCTCTCTGCTCCCGGGGGACGAGGAATGGAAGCGCTTGCAAGTTCAAGTGCTGCCTGTGGTGGCAGAGGAGGTCCCTGATGCTTCCTTAGCAAAGAGAAAAATATGAATAAACGCGAGCTCGCGTTACAAATGATGAAAATGCCTCTTTCCTAACCCGAACTTATTTTCTTGGTGGTGCCAGGTCTCAGGAAAATGACTCGTTGGTGGCTTCTTTAAAGAGTATAGCGGTCGTTCTTTGTTAAAAAGTCGAAAGAACTTTTTAAATCACCACTTCAAAGCCATTGCCTTTAGCAGCAGTGTGTGTCAACGCTTAGAATAATCCCCATAAAATGCCTGGAGATCCCGTGGCCATGAACTTCCAAACCGCTGCATTTGCTGTCTCGTCGTGACACGGTAGTCTGAAAATGGTCATTTAATTATCAGGACTATGGTTCATTGCTGTGTAGCAGCACTGTTGATAATCTAGAAGTTGGTTGATTGCATATTAATCGTGCACAAATGATAAGAAAGGTGCCTGGGAGGATGATGTAACGAGGAGGAAGAATTCATCATGCTTTTATGTAGTTGTCATGTGGGTAGTTAACTTTTTTTTTGTATTTGGCCTCGTTGCTTGTTACAACCTTCTGTCGTCTGTGTGAAACAGGGCTAGATTCTGTAGCAGAGAGATGGCTGTATCGTAATGGGCACCCTTGTGCGAGTGGTTTCTGGAGGGTTGTTAAATAGAGAGTGGCCAGTCTGTATAACTCATCAGTTAAGGTATTTTAAATTCATCTGTTTACAGGGAAATCTGCATTTAAACATAAGGCTGCCTGCCTTCCAGAGTTGCTGGAATAATTGCAATAATTGGAATTAATTATCAGAAATAAATTGGCTTTTAACTCTTCGATTTGGCGTAGTTTGTGTGTGTATAGTTCTCAGTGGCAGTATGTAAGCTAAAAATCTTGCAGGCTATGTTTGGGGCTGCAACTGTATTTGGAAAAGCTGCTCAAAGCAATCAAGGGTGCTGCGCTTTTCAGGTGTGTTGGGGGCCGGGGAATGGTGCGCTTCGGAGACGGAGGCTTGTGCATACTAACTGCAGTACAAATATAAAGTGTGGTGGTGGCAAAGTAGCAATATATAGAATATATGTATTTAGCACTGTCTCACTTTCCCTCAGAAAAGAAAAGAAAACATGGTAAGTTGCATCAAAGTAGGCTAAAGATTACCCACACTGTGGATAGCTGTTTTGCAGGTGGAGTCAGTTCTTGCCTTTTGACTGAGTTTTTTGTTGTTTTTTTTCCATGCCATTTTAAATGACTGGGAAAGATAGTATAGAATTTGTGCTCACAACATACTATTACTGTATTATGTCTTAAACTTTGTGATAGCCAGTTGCAGGGGGAGGATGGCTTCAAGTTTGTGCAGGGTATTATGAGCTGTCTGATTTAATGTTAGGTGTTGCAAGAAACTGCTGTTTAGTGGTACAAAAAGTAGGTATCCACATAGTTATAAAATATATTGCCAAAAATGAAGCAGCCGTTCACTGAAGTGCTCCTACCTGTGGCAGATGGCCTTGACAGCACGTTTGCATAGCCTGCAGGGTCACGACTCCCATCAGAGGGAAGCTAGAGCACTGGTCCCAGCTGAAGCAGTGGTACAATACGCACTTAATTACCTGATTTAGACTTAATAGTTATGCCTTACTGTGTTCAAGAAAATCCACGATGGGAATCCTAGTCAAGTTTATTTTGCATCTGTGGATGCAGGAGAAATGCAAGCGTGGGGTAGGATCTGAAGGTTCCCCCTGCAGTAACGAAGGCCTTACAGGCACTAGTGGTTTGGCACGGTGCAATAGGTAGGCAGTAAATGAAGAGGGGCAGATGCATCTTGGAAAGAGAAGTAGTTAATGTCATGAGTATTTAGTGATTGCTTGTAATGTCTCATTTCTAACAGTGTCACAACACACATGCCATTATCTGACTACACTGTAACTTAAGAATCTCTATGCAAAAAAAAAAAACCCCAACCACCCCACGCCCTAGTTCTCGCTTAGGATTGCGCTCTCCTTTAAAAATGGCATTAGTCTGAGAAATAAATGGAAGTACAGTACTTGTATTACTGCTAAAACTCTGTGAAAGAGGAGAACATGTAAGTAAACTAGTTTGAACAAGTTTCAGATGGAAGCTACGAAGGAAGAATCTTCTGTAGTTGAAGGAATGGTGTCATTAGTTCACCTGCTCAGTCTGCCCCTCGTGCCTATGAATCATTGTATTTCTGTGCAGCGATAACATACCTACGCTTCAACATGAACAAATATTTTGTAGGTGCGGGACTGCATTCAGAAAACACTGACTGAATGGAGCTCAAAGATTGGAGAAGACCTAAATCAGGTAGGAGGAGTGTTATGCCTGTAATCCGTGTTACGCATAAAACCAGAGAAATACGTTGTTGGTTACACCTTTTAAAATATAAATGATCTACTAAATGTCTGTAAAAGTATCTGCAGCTCCAAATATCTTAAATGAGTATTTCTCACACTCCCCCCCCCCCCTTTTTTTTTTTTAAATATTTAGTAAATTGGGTGAGGTTACAAAATACCAAAGTAAAGAATCCTGTTGATGGCAAATAAGACAATTCTTAGCAAAATAAAAGTCCTGGACTGTAAGATTTCAAGTTAATTTTTGGGGTGATCACAAAAAAAAAATAAAATCTGTGTACCTTGGAAGTTTGCTAGCGTGCTTGTAAAAACTTAATGGAGAATTATCTAAACTACGGAGATGATAAACGAGATTGCTGAAGATCCCCCCGTTTGGAGGAGAACTCTGATGCATATCCGTGGTTGTCTCAGAAATATTTCTAAAGATGCAGAAATGGCAATTTTTCCCTTAAGAGCTAAAGACTTCCACATAATGCTTAAAACCACAATCGTGGGCATCTGACATCAAGATCTGGGTGGATTTGCCTGCTCCTTTTTCTCTATTGCTTCTGAAATTCAGCAAAGCAGTAATAGGTTCCCACTAAATATGGTATTTGCTCTGTGAAATATTAGCATGTTTCATTAAAAAACAACAACAACAAAAAACCACCTAAAAAATTTTGGGTTTTGTTACCAGTCCTTGTGTAATGATGCTGTCAACTGCACGTCGCTGCATTGCGCACTGGAGTTTGGTGAGGCAGTTACTGCTCAATTATTTTGTGGGAGATCTGATGATTGCTCAAGAAGAGAACATAAATATTTGTGTCTCTAAGATGTAGTGATCTGTTTAAAGTTAATTATTTAGCATAAACTAGGTTTTACTGTCAAAACATGTTAACGGCAGAATTCCAAATTCTTTTATGAATTATATTGGTTTTCAGTAATTAAAAAAAAAAGTTAACTTTCATTTAAAATGCTGATTCTGTGGAATAATTCGGAGGTGTGGGGGGTGTGTGTGTGTGTGTATAATACAAAATCTCATGTAGGTAAAGACTTAAAAAAGTCACCTCGTGCCAGCTGACATGAGATGTCAGCCTAGTCTTAAATGAGGTCAGAGGGTAAAATCTCTGAAACTTTCCTAATTTTTAGTTTCAGAATTATTGTTTTAAATCTGTATTTTACAGCATTTTCACTGTAGGCTTTTCATAGGCTTCACTGAAATTCAAAACACTTTTATGCAAAGATGTTCCCCACCCAACACCCAAACCCCCTAATTCTTTTTCAGCTCGTCATGAGGCTTTTTTAAAGCAAGGCAGTTTGAATTGGCACAGCGATCTGTTCACATCAGAAAATCAGAACGCTATTAAATCTTATTCCAATAATTCTTATCAGTAATTTGTATATTTTTTGCATTAGGGGCATATAGTGCCTTTCATACAGCTTCCTTTTCCTGACCTCCCCTCAGAGATCAAGAAGCACTGGGTTACTTTCTTTCTGTCATTGCAGTTTTATACTATTTTTGTTTCTAACTGCTGTAAGGCTTTTTTTTTTTTTTTTAATTACTAAAAACATTCTTCAGGAACGTACTGTCTCCTCTTGAAAAGTTGTCCCTAAGTCTCATGTACTTACTACAGGAAATACTGGAGGTTCTGGAATGTACTGTAGCTCAAGCTATAGAAAAAATAAATCCTGAAGAAAGGGATGAGTTGAAAGTATCAGGTAAGAATGCAGTGAAAAATCTGGTGGAGTAAAAAGGTTTCGTATGCAGTCGTTAATAGGATGTTCATATATGTGTATATTTTCCACAGTGTTTTGTAATTGCAAAGTCAAATGACATCAGTGCACACTGTCGTACTTTGGGTAATCCAGAAGTTGGCTAAGAAAGACTTGGATTAGTATTTCAGGTTTTCAAGCAGCTCAGCATTTTTCTAGTTTAACTGACGTCCCCTCAAGACGCTTCAAAAGTATTTTGTGAATCTTTGACTTTTCTGAAACAAAATATTACATATACTGCAATTAAGAAATAGCATTGGAAGCACATTTATTTGCGTAATTCTTCCAGGTTGAATATGATGACCTTGAAGGAGGCAGTCCAAATGTAACACTAGTACATTTTGAGTCCCAGTAAGTTGTGAAGAAGCCTGTTTGTACTACTGTTTGGGGTTTTTGTACAGGTTGCTATGGTTATTGCTTACTGTCTTGACGCTTAAGTCCTAGCTTTACAGTTTATTAGATCATCTAGCTAGATGGTTTCTTGTTCTGAGACTGCACACAACTTTTGAAATGTAAGAGAACGTTGTCTTTATGGGGCAGTCACCTTTCAGGAGGTTGGGTTTTTTCCAATTTTTGAGGTAATTGGTGTATATTCTAAGAACCCTTTACCCGAGAACTCATAAGTAGTGTACATCACAAAAGTAAATAGCTATATATTTAATAATAGCTGGCTTGTTTAGTTACTGATTCCAGTTTCTTTGAAAATAGCCAAACTTTTCATCGTTGGATCAAACTCTTCATCAATCAGAGATGCAGTTGACCTGGGTAAGTGTGAAACTCAAACTTCTGGTAGGGTTTCTTTTTTACTTTAGTATTTAGAAATAAAATTAGAACCTTTTCCATCTAAGAGGTGTATTTAGTGACTGTCACAAGTATATCCTGTTTTCCTATTAAGAGCAACTTAGGTAATCAAGTCTATTTACATTTAGTTCAGTCAGTAAACTTATTAAATGTGGATTGCTGTAACCTTGGGTCCACAAACTCAAATCCGATTCCTTGCTCCAAGCAGAAACAAGTTTTTATTCTTTCATGCAAAACTTCTTAAAGTGAATAGCATGTGATGTTTTAGTAACAGTGGTACAATAGCTCTTACCAGTTGTTGATAGTTGCGAGTTGGTTTTATCATGATGAACTTGGCTAAGTGCACTATTTCAGAGATTATTTAGGAAATAAAACAATGCGGCAAGCAGCTGATGAAGTTTAATTGATGTGAAGTTTTATTGAAAATACAATGGCTGTACTGATGCGTAAAGCATTGTTAGCCTCACAGAGCAGTTAGTGTGAGCAGCACTGAACTTCACCACTTTGGAAGATTGTTGAGCATAAGGGGTTACCAAAGAACAAAGGGTCAGATATATTCTTTTCTGTTGAAGCCACAGTTAATAGCCTCTTTATTGTAAGCTGTAGTACCATTTGCTAAAAATCCAGAAGAAAATAATTTGTTTAGCTACTTAGTTTTAACTCTTTTTGCTATGCAGAAGAGGCCTCCTGACTTGTGTCTTTCCTAAAGCTCAGTGGTGCTCCAAGACGTGCCACTTCTCTCTGGCAATTTAAATCTCCATATTTGATGTGCTTTTAGTCTAACTCCTCACATACATCAAATAGTTCTCCTAGCCCATGCCCTGTACCTGAGCTGTAGTTCATAGTGAAAGTTGCGAACTTTGGAAAAAGTTGAGAGTGAAGTACATGTCTTCAGAGAAAATATAGAGGGGGTTAACATTGAAAAGGAGGAAAAAAAGCTTCAGGCTTTGTTTGGTGGTGAGGGGTTTGTTGGGTTGATTTGGGGTGTTGGGTTTTTTTTTTCCCCAAGACCTAGAACTGAAACTTGGCCTTCAGCTGTATGTTTAATTCTTTGCTAAAACCACTGTGTTACTATCCTTGACTGCTGATCCACTCAGAGTTTCAATGGGTGAATGGGAAGCTAGCAGAGTGAGAAGCAGGAGGTGTGCTTTTTGCTGAATTTGAAGAGTCCTGCTGCTTATGTTTGTACCTCAGAAGATTTCTTAGTGTCTCTCTTCTTTTTCCTCAGCGTGTTCTGCCCTCGGCGTGGCTCAGTTAGACTCGGTCATTATTGCCCCACCGCCTGCTGAAGATGGAGCTAGCCTCACCTTGGAGCATCTGCAACCTTATTGGCAAGAACTTGAAACTCTAGTTCAAAACAAAAAGATTGTTGCCATAGGTACTTCTGACCTAGATAAAACGCTGTTAGAGCAGCTGTATCTGTGGGCACAGGTGAGAACAAACTTCCTACTGTAGCATTTCTAGGACAGAGCAATTGCTTTGTTGGCTGCCACATTGTTATGAACTTCCGTTATAAATGGGTTTATATACAAAATATTAATTATCCCTGTTATTTTCAGCATCTTATGAATGGTCACGATGTTGTTCAAGGTGGGGGAGGCTGGAAGTGTGATTGTCACTTGTTCGGTTGTCTTATGTACAGGCCAGCAAAGGCTGGAAACCACAGGTCTGTTGAGTAGCAGGTTCTTTGAAGTAGTTAAGGTTTAAGTCTTGAATGCTATTATATTTAGAAAGGAATATAAACAAGTACTCTTAAAACTTCAGATTTGTTCCAGTGACTGTGAAAACATAGCTGTTTTCGCTTTAAGCTGTGTTACGGAGGGATTTCCCTTTAGAAAAATGCTGTTTCAGTGCCAAGCTTAAATGTAAAGAGGAGGACAGGCTATGAATCGAGTGTTGTCCAGTGTGACTAATTGCCTCTTGCAACGTTTAAGTGATGGAGGTCTGTACTGCTACGTGCCCACGCTCACGTAAGCTTGTGGATTTACTGTTTCCTTATTAGATTATTTGAATATTCCTCTTATGACATTTCTTTTGTGGTATGTGAGCATACCTTATCTGTATAAGAAGTCCTGCTGAGGCTTGTGATCTGTGCTCTTCACTGTTTTGTGTATGCCGAGCGCAGGATAATTGAGGGGGATTAATGGCCACCTGCGTGGTGATCATGGGTGCAGTTTGTGATGAGCAGAGAGCCAGTGGAAGAGAGTCCCTTTTAACTTAATCTGATCTAGGCACTTACCTGAAGGCATGGAAGACTGCAAATTACATAGCCCTAACAAAAATCACTTGCTGCTTTTTAAGTCTTTTTCAAACTAACACCCCTATAAAGTTTTTTACTACAATCTGCTGCTGCCTAGGGAGCACAGCAGCCAGGAAGCCAGAACAGGTCAGTACGTGTCTTGCTGTGGCAGCACCCGAAGTTAGATCCTATTCTTGTTTTGGGCTCTGTGCTGCCGGAAATTGCAGATGTAGGAGTTGCCTGTTCAGCATCATGTAGAATTGATTAGCCTTGTTCAGACTTCAAAACAATGGTCAAAGGCAAATTGTTCAAAGCAACATTTCTGTGGTAATAGAGGGCATGGGGGAAACAACGGAAATAAGTACATTAATATTATTCTTCTTATAAAAGTATTGTTACTTTCAGGTGAAACCAAGTAGTAATCAGGTGAACCTAGCTTCCTGTTGTGTGATGCCACCTGATCTCACAGCATTTGCAAAACAGTTTGACATACAGCTGTTAACCCACAATGACCCAAAAGGTAAGGCTTTGCCAGGTAACAGAAGACTTGTAAATGCACAAAAATACACAAAATCAGGAGTAATCTTTCTCTGAACTTCAAACTTCATTACATTTGAATCCTGAACAAAGGATTCTAAAAGTTTCACTTCTCTAAAATATTTAAGTTGTTGCTTAAAGAAAGGGGGGGAGGAGGCAATCTTTCAGCCTTGGATAGTTTTCTTGAAATAGTTTTAATTGGAGAAAATAAGGTAACCGGAAGAACAAACTACCAAGAAATTTGTACGACATATTACTATGTATGTTAAAAAAAAAAGCTTATTTCCACAAATCGTAAAATGAAACGACAGTTGTATTGCTGAAGGCCAGTAAATGACAAATGAAAGTCTGCTTGCCCAGGCTGTGAAATAGCTTGCATAGAAATGTTGATGGTCAGTTGATTTTTGAGTCGTTTGCTAATGTCAGACATACAAAATCATTACGCTTTAAGCAGGATTCTTTCAAAGTAGTGACTTAAAGTAACTTTATTACAGAAAGAGTTGGTGTAAATTCTTTACTTGTTTCGTGCAGAGATTAGTTTATTAAATGATTGAAGGACTTGGAGGCTTTCCTTTAGACTCCAGAACTCTTTGAGTTACCAGCTCCCTAGAATATCCTGGGATATTATATTAGTTTCTCTCAATCTTCTTCACCATAGTGTTGCCTTAAATATCTTGCTGGAATTGCAAGCGACAGGCCCTAAACAATAGTTCATTCCTTCCCTATGTTCTTCCTTATGACCAGCTATTCATGATCATACTTTTCCTTCCTTCTCCTTTCTTCCCATTCTCCCCCCCTCAAAGAAAGGAAGTATTCTGTACATATTCTATAGTACCACTGTTACAGCTAATGAATTTCATCCGTGCTTGAGCATGTATCAGCACTGCTCTGGCAGCACGCAAGATGAAGCACCGTTCAATCCAACAACTTCCATGCCCTGTGAAGTCCAAAGCGCAGCGTGCAGTTCAGTGAATACTTTCTATTGAGAGTCACGAAATGAAGGAGAAGAGGATTTGGATAGAAAACAAGGCAAGGAGTGACTCCCTTATGTGTTGTTCGCTAAGCTTAACTCTTCAATAAAGGTCAGCTGAAGAGTATTGAGACTCTCTTTTGGGACCACTCCTCATCAAAGAGATTGTTCCTTTGACTTCCCAGAGGAAAATAGAAGGATTTGTACTTGCCTTCCTTTTCTGCTTTGTGGCATTTAAGCCCCTTTTTCTTAAACATTTCTGGGCTTGTGGTTACGATGAGCCTAGTTAGGGAGATGCTATAAATGTTGAGCTTCCAGTGACTCCAGAGGTAACTGAGAACACTCAGTACTTTGCTGACTTCAGCCTTATACTTTACTGACCTCTGGTTTGCCTAGCTAGCTCCTCAAATTTAATTTTCATTTTTTCCTGCTTATGGCTCTGCTGATCAAACTCCATTTGATATTGTAGAAATCTCAGTTAATTAGTTTTGTGGGAAATACATAGTGTTGCAAAAAAAGTGTCCTGAACATTTCTTCTGTAATTCTCAGCTGCTTTTATCCTACATGCATTCTGGAAGAGTGGCTCTGTGGAGTATCTGGCACTGCTTAACATTTTTGACTGTAGGAAAAGGCTTCTCTTACTAAGTGTTGCTTTTTGCAGCTGCTTACATGACATTATTTAAAGCATGAATATCCTTTTTTAACTTCAGAATTACTTTGTGAAGCAAGTTTCCAAGAAGTTCTTCAGGAAAGCATCCAGAACACGAAAGCACACGAGTGGATTCCTTTATGGCTTCTCCGGTATTCTGTCATTGTTAAAAGCAGAGGAATTATCAAGTCCAAAGGCTATATCACCCAAGCTAAAAGAAATGCCTCTTAACACACTTTACTTTTAAACGGCTTACTGTTTTAATTTCTTGCGGACGGGGGGAACATTGCTTTTTTCATAGAAACACTTTTACAGCATTTGTAACAAAGACCAAAAGTTGTAATTATTCAGTGTGGCGTCAGCAGGAGTGTCTGCGGTGTTCTTAACACTATTTTTCTTTCTTAACCTGTTGACCAGTTCATTTAAAATATGAAATATTTTGGGTTTGTTGTTTTAAATTGAAATGATCTATAGAGAAACAGTTTAAAATATTTTTTCTTTATATGACCAGTTCACTGTAAAATTATCATTATATTTTAGCTGCCATTAGGTAGTATAGAGAAACTTATATATTTTTATTTTTTAAAAAAATGAATTTCTCTTAAATAATAGTTACTTATCTGGTAGGCACATAGATTTCAAGCATTCAAGGACTAGTTTTTATAGAAAATTGTCATCTTTTATGAAAAATTGCCCGAAAAAATAAGACTGGTATCTCAGTACTTGGTATGTATATATAGGCAAGTCAGCTGTTTAATTTGCGTGGATGGGAAAATTGGTTTATTTTTAATATAGTTTAAAAGACCTCTATGATTTAGAAAAAATGCATCTTCTAAATTGCTTTCTGACTGTTACTTGAATTCCTTCTGGCTTCTTTGTGCCTCGATATGTTTTGTTTAGCGTTTGCACAAATGTGATGGCATCTTTACCATCTGAAATAGAAAATATATTATTGTGGGAATGTTTAAGATAAGAATGGAAAATAAGTGATTGAAAAAAAAAAATAATCTGTTAATCAAAAACTGAATTGTGCCTGTCTTCTCAGCTGTGGCTTGTTTTTTCAGTGCTTGTGAACTACGCAATCAGAATCAGCCAAGTCGGAGCAGGTAGTAAGCATGGAAGCAGTTCACTGTGGGATTGTGTGAAATGGATGACTTCTTTTGGGGTTGCCTAGGAAACTTTGGTGCTTGAGTGCCGTTCAGAAATGATGCAAGCAAGGGTTAGCTTGAAGTTAGGTGTATTTCTGTTTGGCAATAGCTTAGCGCACTGCCTTTTGCATCCTAGCGAGATTGCTGCAGCTAAGGCAAGGCTTCTGGTTTAATGTTGCCTTTCTGTCGCAAAGGCGTTCTCATTTCCTTGGCCTTGAAATCAGAATAGATAGCAAAAGCTCAACTTGTAGTCCAGCAGGAGCTTGATGTCGGTGTCTAAAATACGCATTTTCCTTTTGATTTCAGTCAGGAGCAAGGCTTCATACTAGTAGTACTCATGAACTCAGCTGTACTTATTTTGAGGTTCGGACTGTAAGGGAATGAATTTTCACCAACGTCTTTCAAATTCTGTCATGTAGGCAGCCCGTGGAATTTGAATGCTTGTAGGCTGTGCCCAGAGTGTCAGCTTCCTATAAGCCATTCCACTAAGTTAAAAGATGAATCTTCTTCAAGATACCTTTTGAGTCCTCAAATATCTTACCTGTAGGTGGCAAATACTGGGAAATTCTCCTGGATTACTTCAGTTCTTTTAGATAAATCAGAGGGAACTGGAACTAGTAATGCATCAATAGTCTGAATTTTTTCTCCTAATTAAAATGTAGGGTTGTTTTTGGTTTTTTTTTTTTTTAACATCAGGTCAGCGTGTTACCAGAGTTTGAACATTTACCCGAGTTTCATTTTAAGCTTCCCTACCAGCTTTGAGCTGTGCGCTGCTGCTGACTAACCGCTCTCTGTAAGTTCTGTCGCTGTGTTTGGCTGCTGATTTCTGTACAGCATCAGGCTCGCGCGGGTGCTCGGTTTTATAAACTGTGATGCTACAAACCAAGAATTGTGCTAAAACAATGTAAATGGAATAATTATTTATTTCCTTTCTGTAACTTGTTAATAACTTGCTTGCTGTAGAAAAATACCCCTTAAGATATGGTAACTCTAAGACATGATAACCTTATTTTTCTGGAGTCACCGTTAGCGTGATCTTTTATCGGGTTATCTCATTAATTTGCTGTGCGTCACGGTGGCAGAGAGGGGGTTTCCTTCCATGAGAAACTTGAAAGTTTTGAATTAAAATTTGGAATTCTTGTAGGCTTTTCATCTGTGCTGTGTATGAGTTCTCATCATCCCCGT